TACTGCTACTGCTGCTACTACTCCTACTACTACCACGACCACGATGAAGACTGCTACTCCTACTCCTGCTGCTGCTGCTGCTGCTGCACCTGCAACTACCTGCCACCAACTACAGCAAATCATCCAACGATGGCGGCTTGCAACACACGGACGACGAAAGCAACTTTGACACCATAAGCTCTAGGCCTGTGACTACGAAACACCTCACCCCGAACCCTACTAAACTGTTGACTGTCTAACCCTCGGAAGCCTCTGAAGGCCATAGATCGTGCGTTCATGAGAACAAACGGATAAAGTGACATCGCTCCATGCCTAGACCCAAGGGGGCTTACTGACTCAGATGAACTGGCAGTTAGGGCCACCCCATGTTCATACACCACGAGGGCCTGCAGTTGCAAATGCTCCGAGCGCCTGCATGTTTAGGAAACCCCCAAAGCCGAAACCCAAAGCCCTGTCTAAGAATAGCAGAACAAACCCTCCCAAGCTATTCAGGCCCCAATAGTATGAACTGGCCTCTGCCGGTGCCCTTTCATCATTCTCAGGCAGTGCTCAAACCACTTCTCCAGCTCTTCAACCAGCACTTTCGGGGTCCCCTCAGGTGCCGCTTCTGGGTGGGGGATAGGGTCTGTGCGCTGCGGCTTCTGGCTTGGCAGCTCGGGGGTTTGCGTAGACGTAGAGCTTTGGACAAGCATTCCTCGTTGCTTCAGAGCTGGCCTCTTTCTCCTAGGAGCCCGAGAGCTTCAGCACTGCAGAAGTCCCCAGTCTGCACGGCCTTGCCTCCCGGAGCCTTCTGGCGTGAGAACGTTTCGAGGTTCTAGACAAGCGCTCGGGTTTAGGCCGAGGCTTGCTTCTTCCCATCCGCCCTCTAGCTGCCTATGTCCCTGGTGGCAGGGGTGCACCGTTCGGAGGCTCTGCAGGCCCTGCAAACCCCAACCTCCATCTCTAAAGACCGCCAAGAGGCTTTTGCCTCACCTCCCAGCAGCTCTGCGCAAAGCTCTGCAGCTGTGGAGCCTGTGCGGGGCGGATGCGCTTTGGCAACGAAGCTTCAAAATCCTCAGAAGAGCTCGCAGGCATACCAACTCGAGGACTTCGCCGCTTTCCAGGCGGAGCCTTGAAAAAGTGCACACCCATGCCACCATGAACTCCAAAGGCACTAAGCCAGACGCAAGACTTGCTTTCCTATAGGCAACCCTGAAACCTCTAAAGCAACCGAGCACAGGTCGAGGTGCGAAGTCTCAATTCCTCGGTCTCCCACGTGTCGCGGTCCTCTACCTCGTCCTCTTCACCTCCAGGGTTCAGCATGACTTCGTCTGCGGTCTCGGGTTCGGGCGGAGAAAAGAAGTTTCTAAGCACAAACGTACACAATTCTCTGATCAATTTCGGGCAAGTTTTTTGGAAAGGCGACTTTTACAATCAGCTGAGGGATCTAGTTCCTCCAGCCGTTACGGAGATTGATGCTTGCATGATCATCATCTCAGGCCGTGCAGGCAGAGCAAAGAGATACAGGAAGCGATGGCTGAATGAGCCCCGGAACATGTTTCTATAGTCTTGTGCCCTAGACTGCAACTCAAGCAACAAGTGCACCGTAGGGCGTTGTTCTCATCAGCTTCTGCCGGAATTTCCTAGAACCTCTTCTCCTGCGGTGCAAAAGGATACCGTGTGCTTCTGATAATTCTTTTCCCCATGCCTCCATGCCAAACTTCCGCCGGAAGCCCATCCCAACTAAGCGATTGCTAGACTGTGCGTGCTTTGTTTCTTGTCGTGGAGTTTCTGATGTACCTGCTGGAATTGTGGTGGTAGCGCAACAGTCATCAACATCGTCTCAACATTAGCAGCCCAAAAAGTATCAACCAGTATCAGACTGATCACGACAAAGCCCGGTGCCTTCGGGACACAACAAGACGCAACCAATATCAAAGCTCATACGTAAATGCACAGCTAGTCTGCCATCGTACTCGCTGCAGTGATACTAGAAGTGGTGGTGCTGATGGTCTTCGTCGTCGTCGCAGCTAAGAGAAAAGATATGAGGTAGTACGGAATCTTCAGAAGAAGGAGAAGCCGAAGTAGGAGCAGTGGTAGTAGCAGCAGCCGCAGCAGCTGCAGCAGCAGTAGCCGTCCCAAGTAGCATTAGCAGAAGAGTGCGCAGAAACAGCAAGAGTAGTTGTGCGATGACAGTAGCGGCAGTAGTCTTGGTGGGAATGTGTGTAGCACTAAGTTGAAGTGATGGCTAGTAGTCCGAGTCATGGTGGTAGCCGTAGCATCAGCTACAGTTGTAGCAGAACCAACACAAAGTGTAAGAAGAGTGGTGGAGCACTGCTGTAGCAATGTCTACAATATCACGGATTGATAAAACATCATGGGAAACCAGCGCCTGCCACTTGTCTAATCAATCATTTATTGGATACTGAACACACCTGACAGTCAAAACCCAACAACAAGACTGAAACTAGCGACCTTAACCGCAGCCACGCAATCGACCACCACCGCATGGGGGTTTCTGAAAATCTGGGATGCTGTTTCTCGGGGACTCAAAAATGCGAATCGTACTTTGTGGGTCTATAATCTCAATGTTGTCTGGTGAAACTCCCATACAAAGTACAATACCCATAACAAGAACCGGCACCACGTCCGCCTTGCTCTACCAACTGTTGGCGCTTCCTTCGTTGTTCCTCGCGGGCACGCTTGGACTTGTCCTTCTCCTTCGGCATCAGAGGCTTGTTGTTCAGGTTTCTCAAGTCATTAAGCCCTACGTGGCGTCAGCGTTTCAGGGAGCCAAGTCTTCCAATTTCTGTGGGACGTATTCGGCCATCTTCAGCCCATTCCGAAGCATGTTTGTGCCATGACCTTGCGCAAGCTGCAGCTGAAACTTGAAGCACATTCATTCAACTTTCAGTGTGCCTGCAGGGCAGTTTCTACATATAGCATCAGCAGGTTGAGTCCTTGCGGCATCAATAGCCGTGTGCGGCCTATACATCCTGTGTACACCTGCCTCCTACATCGCATCGTTTAGGACCTACTGATTTCTCCTCCCTTGTTGTCCACGTTGAATATGGATCCTTGTTCAGAGCCCCATAAAACAGGAACTCCTTATTCTGACACGGTTAAACTTTCAGTGCTTTGGATCTTACCGGCCTCCTTCCAGCTGCGCCACGCCTGACCAGGTGAGTTCAGCACGGGAACCCAGAATGATGATAGTATTTGCATAGGATTTGCAGAGACGTGGATCCAGTGCAGAATCATAGAAGCTTGCTTTCCAGCTTTGCAAGTTGGGCTCGAGCGTTCCTCCTGTTGACTGCTCCTTTCTTGCATAGGATGCAGCTGCTTTTGGGTGGTGGGGTTCAGGGCTTTCCGCCGGCTGAGCTAGAATTTAGTGGATGGCGAAGCAGGCTTTGAATAGCGAACACCCAAGGCGATTTCATGCCAGGCGGCAAGTCGGAGTTGGCCGATTTTGGGGCGTTCTTTGCCAAAATCAAAAGTGCACACGGGGCCTCTGCCCGAAACCCGCTTTCTTCAGAAAACCAAAGCGAGTTTTGGACGTCGGCTCCGCAGCGCCACATTTGGGGCTCGAGGTCATGTCCTGTTTTTAGCGCGCCAGTCGGAAGCCCAACGCCTGCTAAAACCCAGAAGTGCCCTGGCCCTGGACCCCCAAGGGCAACTCTGAGCCTTTTGGGTCGTCGAACTCAACAAGCCCCAACCCGCCTGATGCGCACCCTTACAGCTCAAAGGCCTTGACCTTGGGGGGCTCAAGATTGAGGAATATTGGTAACTCTACCATCAAAGCACCGGCGGGCCGAGAAACTCAAGATGTCTGAAGCCGCGGTGCTGATCGCGACTAGCAAAGGGGGTGCAACACCTCTACGCTAAGCCCTGGGACCCCTCCTGAAGCCCTCTAACACCCTCGTGGAAAGCCTCGCTGAAGCCCTTCTTAGCCACGTGCCGCAACCCTAAAGCAAAGGCCTAAAACGCTGGAGCCTTGTAGGCCCTCTCAAAGAGGGATTTCTCCCTCCGAACCTTGGCGGCCTCGACTTCTCAGGCTTCCGGGCTTCAGCTTCTAGGGGCTTCGGCTTAGCCGCCCTTAGAACGAAACTAAAAAGGAAATTCTTATTCATCCCCCCTTTAACGTGAGACTATAAGGAGAATAAACCATAATTCCTAAGAGCAGAAAGGGCTTCAGCATCTGGGGCTGAGGGGTTTTACGTTCTTGTTGTCACGAGACAGACCAATGGTGTTAGGGTTATCGGGTTGTAGGGCGTAGGAGTCCTTACAAGAAGGATCGTAGGGTACAGCTGCTTTTCCTGAAGCAGTTGTTTGGGCTTGGGGATTAAGGTGCTAAAGAAAGTTACAAGGGTTGAGGGCGTAGGGTGCTAACAGAAGAGTTTGACAGAGCTTAAAGAGGTTTACGGCTTGGGGTGCTCGGGGAAAAGACGTAAGTGGTAGTAGGGTGCTGAAGGACAATCTTAAAACAAGTGCATTTTCGGAAACGCGGATAACGGCGAGAAGCGTTGCAATAGTGCTTGCCCCTCTGCACAACAACTGACAACAATACACACTTAATCCGTAAGCGGGCTGGAGAGAGACTTCACACTGGATGCTGTTAAACTCCAAAAACATGGGTCTGGGATTCTTTAGCTTAGGGCTCTTGGGGAGCTTGGGCATTGTGGGGGCAGCAGGCCCCGAGTGGCAGTGACGATGGCTGTATCCACGACGTTTGTGTAGATTCGATGTGGTGCTTTTGGTGAACCAGTCAACGACTGCACTTCTTGATGCTCCCCCGGTCGCTGCGATGACCCGCATGCCTAAGCCCTCACACCACCAAGTCTCTCAACGCTACACCCTGCTACCAAGGGGCTTCCAGCTTCAAGTCATCATCCAAGCGCGGCGCTGTCGTGTTCGCGAGGATGTTGCTCAACTGGGAGTTCTTTGCATGGTAGAGTATATCGGAGGTCCGCCATGGTTTCCTTTCCCGGTCTTTCATTGCTGTCTTTGAACCCCTTTGTCTCTTACCTCAGTACTGTTACTTGGAATCTTCGAGTCACCCTAAAGTCGAAAGTGGCAGCTTCAGACTCTGGCGGACCGAATCTTATGATCCCCTTCGGCCCCTTCGAAGTCCCAAATCCCAGGAACGCAAAAACATGCGATACCTCAGGTTCAAAAACTATCAAAACCCGTCCCAACTGTAGTGTCCTGCCGGGACATCCATTGTCTAGATGGGTTGTGGATGTATTTCCGATGCATCTTCACTTCGCAACCACGAAAAACAAAAAACACGTGCATTATGTGGCATTTTCCTGATGCTGGCCCTGTCGCAGAGAAAGGCAACCGCCAAATGCGTTTGTTTGCACGTGTTCGCATTCTGCCAACTGAGATGCATCCAGCTAGGCGGGTGGTGCTCATAAAGCTAATCAAAACCTTAAATTATACGATCCACAGGACACAGAGCACTGCAGAAAGGTACTCTACTCTCAAGAACACTCCTCCCAATATTAGAGCCCTCACCAAACCATCAACCCCTTGTGACCCCTAAGCCAATACCTGGATCCTAAACCCTTTAGCGAAATCGCTTCAAGGGCGCCCACAATCCCTGAAACCTTTAAAAAGGAATCATCCGGCCGTATTAGCAAACATACCCGTAGGGGAGCCCGTCCCGTTTCTTCAAAAAAGCGGGGAGACCTGAATTGCAAGAGGCCGTAACCCGGGAAATCCCTAGAAGAACTCTACAGAAAACCCTGTAGACCACCCCAAGATACCCTAAAGGCTCAGCCCCCCCTCCCTTCATCAAAAAGACCCAACGCCCGTTGGACCGACGGGCTTGGCCTGCCTCAGCCTCGGCCTTCGACTCGGCTTTCGCGGGCTCACCTCAAGAAGAGAAGCGGTTTTGAGGAGGCTCCCATAAGATATGTAAGACATAATTGAGCGTACATAATAGATAGTGTATATATATGCTACCCCCCCTCA